TGCAGAGAATTGCAAGCCTTTCAGAAGGTAAAATTGTGCTCTATATACAGTTGTGTTCAAAATAATAGCCGTCAGACATCACTAACCGGATCAATCGCTGTTTTTGGTGGAAATGATATTTATACATGGCAAATAATTTCCTAGCAGGTGTAGTAGAGTCATAGAAATCCAACAGACCCGACAGTCATGACATGCATGCTGCTGATTCTGTGTCATTGAATCACTCATTGAAAGGGGCGTGTTCACAATAATAGCAGTGTGGAGTTCTATTAGTGAGGTCATTCATTCTTTGATAAACAGGTGGCAATTATTGCCCTTATTTAAGGAAGGAAGGCAGCAAATGTTGGACATGCTGGTTACAGTGCATTTCTCTCTGAAATTCTGAGGAAAATGGGTCGTTCCAGACATTGTTCAGAAGAACAGCGTACCTTGATTAAAAAGTTGATTGGAGGGGAAAACATATAAAGAAGTGCAGAAAATGATCGGCTGCTCAGCTAAAATGATGGCAAATGCTTTAAAATGGCAACCAAAACCTGAAAGACGCGGAAGAAAGCGAAAAACTACCATTGGAATGGATAGAAGAATAGCCAAAATGGGGCGGACTCAGCCAACAATCAGCTCCAGGAAGATGACAGAAGGTGTGACGTTCCCTGTGAGGACTCAGCCAACAATCAGCTCCAGGAAGATGAAAGAAGGTGTGACGTTCCCTGTGAGGACTGTTACAATTAGAAGACGCCGATGTGAAGCCAAGCTATCTGCAAGAAGTCCCCGCAAAGTCCCACTGTTGGGAAAAAGACGTGTGCTGAAGAGGTTACAATCTGCCAAACAGCACATTGACCGGCCTAAAGAGAAATGGTGCAACATTTTGTGGACTGATGAAAGTAAGATTGTTCTTTTTGGGTCTAGTGGGCGGAGACAGTTTGTCAGACGACCCCCAAACACTGAATTCAAGCCACAGTACACTGTGAAGACCGTGAAGCATGGTGGTGCAAGCATCATGATTTGGGGATGTTTCTCATACTACGGTGTTGGGCCTATTTATCACATACCAGGGATCATGGATCAGTTTGAATCCATCAGAATACTTGAAGAGGTCATGCTGCCTTATGCTGAAGAGGAAATGCCCTTGAAATGGGTGTTCCAACAAGACAACGACCCCAAACACACCAGTAAATGTGCAACATCTTGGTTCCAGACCAACAAGATGGACGTTATGGAGTGGCCAGCCCAATCCCCGGATCTTCATCCAACTTGTGGGGTGACATCAAAAATGGTGTTTCTGAGGCAAAACCAAGAAATAGAGAAGAACTGTGGAATGTGGTCCAATCATCCTGGGCTGGAATACCTGATCACAGGGGCCAGAAGTTGGGGGACTCCATGCAACACAGATGTACTGCAGTTCTCAGAAACAGTGCGACTACAACCAAATATTCATGAAGTCATTCAAAGGAAAGCAAAATCTTCAAACATTTCTCAGTTTATATAGTGAATGTTGGAGTTTGTAAAGAAGAATACAAACACTGAGATTTTTTTGAACCGTCTAATATTCACTTTTCTTCCATTTTTTTTTAGAGGAACAACACAAATTTGATGTATTTTTCTTCCTGTTGTGATTTGGAATAGAATGTGTCGTGTTCCCAATGCATTTGTGTGGATGGAAATAAAAGGATTAGAAGGATTTGCAGCTTTAGTCACTTTTTTCAACACACTGCTATTATTTTGAACACATTTATTTATTTATTTCAGGTACGTATATAGCGCTATCAATTTACGCAGCACTTTACATATATATTGTACACTCACATCGGTCCCTAACCCTCAAGGGATATATATATATACAGTTGTGTTCAAAATAGTAGCAGTGTGTTGAATACAGTGAGGAATCATCCCAGAACTACACGTGAGGATCAATGATCTCCAGGCAGCTGGGACCACAGTCACCAAGAAAACAATTGGTAACACACTACGCCGACAAGGACTGAAATCCTGCAGTGCCCACAAGGTCCCTCTGCTCAAGAAAGCACATGTCCAGGCCCGTCTGAAGTCTGCCACTGAACATCTGAATGATGCCGAGGAGGACTGGTGGGAAGTGTTGTGGTCAGATGAGATCAAAATCCAGCTCTTTGGCATCAACTCAACTCGCCGTGTTTGGAGGAGGAGGAATGCTGCCTATGACCCCAAGAACACCATCCCAACTGTGAAACATGGTGGTGGAAATATTCTGCTTTGGGGGTGTTTTTCTGCTAAGGGGACAGGACAACTGCACCGCATCAAAGGGACGAGGACGGGGCAATGTACCATCAAATCTTGGGTGAGAACCTTCTTCCCTCAGCCAGGGCATTGAAAATGGGTGGTGGATGGGTGTTCCAGCATGACAATGACCCAAAACACACGGCCAAGGCAACAAAGGAGTGGCTCAAGAAGAAGCACATTAATGTCCTGGAGTGGCCTAGCCAGTCTCCAGACCTTAATACGATTGAAAATCTGTGGAGGAGCTGAAAGTTCGAGTTGCCAAACGTCAGCCACCAAACCTTAATGACTTGGAGAGGATCTGCCAAGAGGAGTGGGCCAAAATCCCTCCTGAGATGTGTGCGAACCTGGGGGCCAACTCCAGGAAACGTCTGACCTCTGTGATTGCCAACAAGGGATTTGCCACCAACTACTAAGTCATGTTTTGTGAAGGGGATCAAATCCTTCTTTCCCTCATGAACATGCAGATCCGTCATCATTTGTTAGACGCATTTCTGCTGAATTTGTTCTTGTATTCTGTCTCTCAGTGTTACACCGAACATTCCATTGTTAGACCGATCATTTCTGTGTGAGGGGCGAACATTCCATTGTTAGACCGATCGTTTCTGTGTGAGGGGCGAACATTCCATTGTTAGACCGATCGTTTCTGTGTGAGGGGCGAACATTCCATTGTTAGACCGATCGTTTCTGTGTGAGGGGCGAAACATTCCATTGTTAGACCGATCGTTTCTGTGTGAGGGGCGAACATTCCATTGTTAGACCGATCGTTTCTGTGTGAGGGGCGAACATTCCATTGTTAGACCGATCGTTTCTGTGTGAGGGGCGAACATTCCATTGTTAGACCGATCATTTCTGTGTGAGGGGCAAACATTCCATTGTTAGACCGATCATTTCTGTGTGAGGGGCAAACATTCCATTGTTAGACCGATCATTTCTGTGTGAGGGGCGAACATTCCATTGTTAGACCGATCATTTCTGTGTGAGGGGCTAACATTCAGCATAAGCAGGGGAGCAAATACGCATTTCCTTCACTGTATGTATGTATATAGGTGGTACCTCGGTTTATGGATCGGGAGAACAGTACTTGCCTGACTGCATTGCGCCAAGTGTAAAGTTTGGTGGGGGGGGGATTATGGCGTGGGGTTGGGACTTTTTAATCCGAGTGTAGCATCAAGTCCATGACACTCCTGGGATATGGATCTGGTCAGGTAAGTAGCAGAGGGGGTTGTTCATCAGTTTCAGCTGCTTTGGTGTTCATGAAACGGGTGCATTAGATGGGCAACAATGAGACAACCCCCAAGACAGGAATGGTTTTACAGGTGGAGGCCACTGACATTTTTTTCCCTACTCATCTGTTCTGTTTTTTACTAGTTTTGCATTTGGCTCGGGTCAGTGTCACTACTGGTAGCATGAGGCCAAACCTGGACCCTACAGAGGTTGCACAGGCAGTCCAACTCCTCCAGGATGGCACATCAATACGTACCATTGCCAGAAGGTTTGCTGTGTCTCCCAGCACAGTCTCAAGAGCATGGAGGAGATTCCAGGAGACAAGTGCATGGAGGAGATTCAGGAGACGAGAGCACGGAGGAGATTCCAGGAGACGAGAGCATGGAGGAGATTCCAGGAGACGAGAGCCCGGAGGAGATTCCAGGAGACGAGAGCCCGGAGGAGATTCCAGGAGACGAGAGCCCGGAGGAGATTCCAGGAGACGAGAGCACGGAGGAGATTCCAGGAGACGAGAGCATGGAGGAGCTTGACTGCCATTAGGTATCGGGATGAAATCCTTGGACCCATTGTCAGACCCTACGCTGGTGCAGTGGGTCGTGGGTTCCTCCTGGTGCAGGGGGTCCTGGGTTCCTGCTGGTTCAGGGGGTCCTGGGTTCCTCCTGGTTCAGGGGGTCCTGTGTTCCTCCTGGTGCAGTGGGTCCTGGGTTCCTCCTGGTGCGGTGGGTCCTGTGTTCCTCCTGGTGCGGTGGGTCCTGTGTTCCTCCTGGTGCGGTGGTCCTGGGTTCCTATTGGTTCAGGGGGTCGTGGGTTCCTCTTGGTTCAGGGGGTCGTGGGTTCCTCTTGGTTCAGGGGGTCCTGTGTTCCTCCTGGTGCGGTGGGTCCTGGGTTCCTCCTGGTGCGGTGGGTCCTGGGTTCCTCCTGGTGCAGTGGGTCCTGGGTTCCTCCTGATAGATGACAATGCTCGGCCTCATGTGGGGGGAGTATGCAGGCAGTTCCTGGAGGATGAAGGATTTGATTCCATTGAATGGCCCCCGCACTCAGCTGACCTAAATCCAATAGAACCCCTCTGGGATGTCATGTTTCGGTCCATCCGATGACGCCAGGTTGCACCTCAGACTGTCCAGGAGCTCAGTGATGCCATGGTCCAGATTTGGGAGGAAATCCCCCAGGACACCATCCGTGGTCTCATTAGGACTCTCCCCCGACGTTGTCAGGCATGCATACAAGCACGTGGGGGCCACACAGACTACTGAGGACCATTCTGAGTTGCTGCAATGACATTTCACCAACATGGACTCGCCTGCTGCATCATTTCTTCACTTTGATTTTCGGGGTGTCTGTGAATTCAGTCCTCTGCAGGTCGATCATTTCCATCCAACGATGGGGTGTCCTTACATTCCTCACCCATCCCCCGTCCATGTCAGTATAGAGATCCAGCAGGAGATTCCTCCCCATTGGGATCTGATGGGTTCTCAGAGTCTTCCTGTCATTTTTTTTTTTAGCAGTGTGTGTAGATAGATTGATTGACAAGCAGCATGCAGACAGGAGAAGAGAACAGAGAGGTGAGATCTTTTATTGAGCTGCATCTCTGTCACCATCCAGTCACAAATGTAAGTGCACAAACCCGGGAACTTGGCAGGGATGGTGGGAACCCCTCATAATGGGCACAGCGGGTGTACAGACCTGGGAACTCAGCACAGGGATGGTGGGAACCCCTCATAATGGGCACAGCGGGTGTACAGACCTGGGAACTCAGCACAGAGGTGGTGGGAACCCCTCATAATGGGCACAGCGGGTGTACAGACCCGGGAACTCAGCACAGGGGTGGTGGGAACCCCTCATAATGGGCACAGCGGGTGTACAGGTCCGGGAACTCAGCACAGGGATGGTGGGAAAACCTTATAATGGGCACAGCGGGTGTACAGACCCAGGAACTTAGCACAGGGATGGTGGGAACCCCTCATAATGGGCACAGCCGGTGTATACACCCAGGAACTCAGCACAGGGATGGTGGGAACCCTTCATAATGGGCACAGCAGGTGTATAGACCTGGGAACTCAGCACAGGGATGGTGGGAAACCCCTCATAATGGGCATAGCGGTGTGTACAGACCTTGGAACTCGGCACAGGGATGGTGGGAACCCCTCATAATGGGCACAGCGGGCGTACAGACCCGGGAACTCAGCACAGGGATGGTGGGAACCCTTCATAATGGGCACAGCGGGTGTACAGACCTTGGAACTCGGCACAGGGATGGTGGTGGGAACCCCTCATAATGGGCACAGCGGGCGTACACAGACCCGGGAACTCAGCACAGGGATGGTGGGAACCCTTCATAATGGGCACAGCAGGTGTATAGACCCGGGAACTCGGCACAGGGATGGTGGGAACCCCTCATAATGGGCACAGCAGGTGTAGAGAATATTCTAAACCCCAGCCACACACAATGAAGAGTTGAGATGCCACCTTGTAGAGCAGTCTTGGTTTTGCACCAATCGGGTCTCTCCTTTCCTCCCTCAGGGAAGTTTCTTTGCACGTTCTGTCACACGGAGGTGGAAGAAGACGAGTCCGCCATGCCGAAGAAGGACGCTCGCACTCTAGAGTCGCCCGGTTCAATGAACAGATAAAGCCTTTATATGACCTTCTGCGACAGACCGAAGATATCAACCTGGCCTATGAAATCCTGGAGCCGGAACCTACGGAGATCCCAGCTCTCAGGCAGAGGTAGGTGCTCCTGCTTGATGCACAGAGGAAGGAATGCCTCTTGGCTGCACATGGTGGTAGAAATTGGCTGCTGGCGCGCTTCATGTGCAGATGAGCTGTTTGGCTAAGTTCACACTAGCATCTAAAGCAGGCATTTCCTCTGCATTTTTGAAGCCTCATGAACAGAATATGGGCTGACAAGAAGCATGCTGATAGGACAGGAGATAATAGACAGAAGAGCTCATCACTGCTGCTTTTTCTTTCACTGTCCAGTCACTGACTGGGGGTGGGTGCAGGATGACCAGGGCTCAGAGGAAGTGCGTTGAGTGACGCGGCCTTGACAAATCTGTTTTTCAACAGCGCTATAGCCGAATGACGGCTACAGCGCGGGTGTCCATTTCTGGGAGGGCGTCATATGGCGATCTCCGTGTCCCTGTGTCCAATGACAAAGCAGATCACCTGTAAATGCAGCTGCTGGTTATCGGCTGCCAATAACCGGCAATTGTCAGAGGACAGGTCTGCACCTGTGCCCAGCAGTGCCTAGCAGTGTCACCCACCTGTGCCCAGCAGTGCCTAGCAGTGTCACCCACCTGTGCCCAGCAGTGCCTAGCAGTGTCACCCACCTGTGCCCAGCAGTGCCTAGCAGTGTCACCCACCTGTGCCCAGCAGTGCCTAGCAGTGTCACCCACCTGTGCCCAGTGCCTAGCAGTGTCACCCACCTGTGCCCAGCAGTGCCTAGCAGTGTCACCCACCTGTGCCCAGCAGTGCCTAGCAGTGTCACCCACCTGTGCCCAGCAGTGCCTAGCAGTGTCACCCACCTGTGCCCAGCAGTGCCTAGCAGTGTCACCCACCAGTGCCCAGCAGTGCCTAGCAGTGTCACCCACCTGTGCCTAGCAGTGTCACCCACCTGTGCCCAGCAGTGTCACCCACCTGTGCCCAGCAGTGCCTAGCAGTGTCACCCACCTGTGCCCAGCAGTGCCTAGCAGTGTCACCCACCTTTGCCCAGCAGTGCCTAGCAGTGTCACCCACCTGTGCCCAGCAGTGCCTAGCAGTGTCACCCACCTGTGCCCAGCAGTGTCACCCACCTGTGCCCAGCAGTGCCTAGCAGTGTCACCCACCTGTGCCTAGCAGTGTCACCCACCTGTGCCCAGCAGTGCCTAGCAGTGTCACCCACCTGTGCCCAGTGCCCAGCAGTGCCTAGCAGTGTCACCCACCTTTGCCCAGCAGTGCCTAGCAGTGTCACCCACCTTTGCCCAGCAGTGCCTAGCAGTGTCACCCACCTTGCCCAGCAGTGCCCTAGCAGTGTCACCCACCTGCCCAGCAGTGTCACCCCACCAGCAGTGCCTAGCAGTGTCACCCACCTGTGCCTAGCAGTGTCACCCACCTGTGCCCAGCAGTGCCTAGCAGTGTCACCCACCTTTGCCCAGCAGTGCCTAGCAGTGTCACCCACCTTTGCCCAGCAGTGTCACCCACCTGTGCCTAGCAGTGTCACCCACCTTTGCCCAGCAGTGCCTAGCAGTGTCACCCACCTGTGCCCAGCAGCAGTGTCACCCACCTTTGCCTAGCAGTGTCACCCACCTGTGCCTAGGAGAGTCAGTGTCACCCACCTTTGCCCAGCAGTGTCACCCACCTTTGCCCAGCAGTGCCTAGCAGTGTCACCCACCTTTGCCTAGCAGTGTCACCCACCTGTGCCTAGCAGTGTCACCCACCTTTGCCCAGCAGTGCCTAGCAGTGTCACCCACCTTTGCCCAGCAGTGCCTAGCAGTGTCACCCACCTGTGCCCAGCAGTGCCTAGCAGTGTCACCCACCTGTGCCCAGCAGTGTCAGTGTCACCCACCTGTGCCCAGCAGTGCCTAGCAGTGTCACCCACCTGTGCCTAGCAGTGTCACCCACCTGTGCCCAGCAGTGCCTAGCAGTGTCACCCACCTGTGCCCAGCAGTGCCTAGCAGTGTCACCCACCTTTGCCCAGCAGTGCCTAGCAGTGTCACCCACCTTTGCCCAGCAGTGCCTAGCAGTGTCACCCACCTTTGCCCAGCAGTGTCACCCACCTGTGCCCAGCAGTGCCTAGCAGTGTCACCCACCTGTGCCTAGCAGTGCAGTACCCACCTGTGCCCAGCAGTGCCTAGCAGTGTCACCCACCTTTGCCCAGCAGTGCCTAGCAGTGTCACCCACCTTTGCCTAGCAGTGTCACCCACCCTGTGCCTAGCAGTGTGTCACCCACCTTTGCCCAGCAGTGCCTAGCAGTGTCACCCACCTGTGCCCAGCAGTGCCTAGCAGTGTCACCCACCTTTGCCTAGCAGTGTCACCCACCTTGCCTAGCAGTGTCACCCACCTTTGCCCAGCCTAGCAGTGTCACCCACCTTGCCCAGCAGTGCCTAGCAGTGTCACCCACCTGTGCCTAGCAGTGCCTAGCAGTGTCACCCACTTTGCCCAGCAGTGCCTAGCAGTGTCACCCACCTTTGCCCAGCAGTGCCTAGCAGTGTCACCCACCTGTGCCCAGCAGTGCCTAGCAGTGTCACCCACCTGCAGTGCCTAGCAGTGTCACCTAGCAGTGTCACCCAGTTTAGTGTCACCCACCGGTGCCTAGCAGTGTCACCCACCTGTGGCCAGCAGTGCCTAGCAGTGTCCACCCACCTGTGCCCAGCAGTAGTGCCTAGCAGTGTCACCCACCTGTGCCCAGCAGTGCCTAGCAGTGTCACCCACCTGTGCCCATCATTGCCTAGCAGTGTCACCCACCAGTGCCCAGCAGTGCCTAGCAGTGTCACCCAGCTGTGCCATCATTGCCTAGTAGTGTCACCCACCGGTGCCCAGCAGTGCCTAGCAGTGTCACCCAGCAGTGCCCATCATTGTTTAGTAGTGTCACCCACCGGTGCCTAGCAGTGCCACCCACCTGCCTAGCAGTGTCACCCACCTGTGCCCAGCAGTGCCTAGCAGTGTCACCCACCTGTGCCCTGCAGTGCCTAGCAGTGTCACCCAGCAGTGCCCATCATTGTTTAGTAGTGTCACCCACCGGTGCCTAGCAGTGCCACCCACCTGTGGCCAGCAGTGCCTAGCAGTGCCACCCACCTGTGGCCAGCAGTGCCTAGCAGTGCCACCCACCCCCATCATGTGGCCAGCAGTGCCTAGCAGTGTCACCCACCTGTGCCCATCATTGCCTAGCAGTGTCACCCACCAGTGCCCAGCAGTGCCTAGCAGTGTCACCCAGCAGTGCCCATCATTGTTTAGTAGTGTCACTCACCGGTGCCCAGCAGTGCAGTGTCACCCATCAGTGCCACCTCATCAACGCACATCAGTGAAGGAGAAAAATGACCCGTTTGCTAAATTTTATAATGGAAACAAAGAAAAACTTTTTTTTTTTTTTTTTTCAATTTTTTGCTCTTTTTTTTTTTTTTTTTTTTTAATTTTTTGCTCTTTTTTTTTTATTTATAGTGCAAAAAATAAACCCCAGCGGGGAGTAAATACCCAGAAAAAAGCTCTATTTGTGTGAAAAAATGGTAAAAATGTCATATGGGTACAGTGTCGCACGACCGTGCAATTGTCACTCAAAGTGCCACAGCGCTGAAGGCTGAATATTGGCCTGGGCGGGAAGGGGGTAGAAGTGCCCCACCTGTAGGCGGGAAGGGGGTAGAAGTGCCCTGTAGGCAGGAAGGGGGTAGAAGTGCCCTGTAGGCAGGAAGGGGGTAGAAGTGCCCTGTAGGCGGGAAGGGGGTAGAAGTGCCCTGTAGGCGGGAAGGGGGTAGAAGTGTCCTGTAGGCGGGAAGGGGGTAGAAGTGTCCTGTAGGCAGGAAGGGGGTAGAAGTGTCCTGTGGGCAGGAAGGGGGTAGAAGTGTCCTGTAGGCGGGAAGGGGGTAGAAGTGCCCCGTAGGCGGGAAGGGGGTAGAAGTGTCCCGTAGGCGGGAAGGGGGTAGAAGTGTCCCTGTAGGCGGGAAGGGGGTAGAAGTGTCCCGTAGGCGGGAAGGGGGTAGAAGTGTCCCGTAGGCGGGAAGGGGGTAGAAGTGTCCCGTAGGCGGGAAGGGGGTAGAAGTGCCCTGTAGGCGGGAAGGGGGTAGAAGTGTCCCGTAGGCGGGAAGGGGGTAGAAGTGTCCCGTAGGCGGGAAGGGGGTAGAAGTGTCCCGTAGGCGGGAAGGGGGTAGAAGTGTCCCGTGGCGGGAAGGGGGTAGAAGTGTCCCGTAGGCGGGAAGGGGGTAGAAGTGTCCCGTAGGCGGGAAGGGGGTAGAAGTGTCCCGTAGGCGGGAAGGGGGGTAGAAGTGCCCCGTAGGCGGGAAGGGGGTAGAAGTGCCCCGCAGGCGGGAAGGGGGTAGAAGTGCCCCGCAGGCGGGAAGGGGGTAGAAGTGTCCGGTAGGCGGGAAGGGGGTAGAAGTGCCCGGTAGGCGGGAATGGGGTAGAAGTGCCCGGTAGGCGAGGGGTTTTTTTCTAGGAGCCAGCTAAAAAAGTTGGGAGCCAGTTTTTTTTAAATCGGGCCCTCGGAACTACATGTTTGGGGCATCGGGCAATAGGAATTCCACAAAAAAGAGGGGGTTTAGGTTCTGCCCTGCGGGGGTGTTGGCTCCCACATGGGGAGTCCGAATCCAGGCCACCGCTTCCAGACGCTGTGGTGACCTGGCGCCTGGGATTTGTCGAGCCCTGGTTTATGGTATCCTCATTATTTTCGGCTTTGGGCGCACACTTACTGGGGTGTCGCAGGGCGGGGCCCCGAGCGTTTCAGTGGCGCACAATATGTTCTCTGCCGTCGGTACAGTAAGTACATTCTGTTCCACCACACGTGTCTCAGTGAATTGCGCCCAGCACCCCCCCACCGCCACCCTCCCCCCCCCCCCCGCCACCCTCCCACTGCCACCCTCGGATCTGTCTTTCCAAAAACTGTCAGCTCCTAAAACTCGGCACTCCGCGCTCCTGTCAGCCATTTGTTGCTCCGGAGCCATTCTTCCCTAATAGAGGGGTTCTATGGAACACAGCGACAGGAGGGGGAGGGGCTGCAATTTGGAGAGTCCTCGGAGACTGCGGCATACCGGGGGTGGCAACGTTACTGTTGTGGGGGAGAAATGTTCAGAGGCAGCTTGAAGTGTGTTATTTCCATGGAAATCTGATAACTGCTTATCTGTGAGCCAGATTCCCTACTTAAAGGGCCCCAGTAATTTGTGGTATCCTTTGGGGGGGGGGGGGGGGGTGACCACACTCATTATGGGCACAGCGGGCGTACAGACCCGGGAACTCAGCACAGGGATGGTGAGAACCCCTCATAATGGGCACAGCGGGCGGACAGACTCGGGAACTCAGCACAGGGATGGTGAGAACCCCTCATAATGGGCACAGGGGTGTACAGACCCGGGAACTCAGCACAGGGATGGTGGGAACCCCTCATAATGGGCACAGCGGGTGTACAGACCCGGGAACTCAGCACAGGGATGGTGGGAAAACCTCATAATGGGCACAGCGGGTGTACAGACCCGGGAACTCAGCACAGGGATGGCGGGAACCCCTCATAATGGGCACAGCGGGTGTACAGACCCGGGAACTCAGCACAGGGATGGTGGGAACCCCTCATAATGGGCACAGCGGGTGTACAGACCCGGGGAACTCAGCACAGGGATGGTGGGAACCCCTCATAATGGGCACAGCGGGTGTACAGACCCGGGAACTCAGCACAGGGATGGTGGGAACCCCTCATAATGGGCACAGTGGGTGTACAGACCCGGGAACTCAGCACAGGGATGGTGGGAACCCCCTCATAATGGGCACAGCGGGTGTACAGACCCGGGAACTCAGCACAGGGATGGTGGGAACCCCTCATAATGGGCACAGCGGGTGTACAGACCCGGGAACTTAGCACAGGGATGGTGGGAACCCCTCATAATGGGCACAGCAGGTGTACTGACCTTTTTGTTTTTTTGTTTTTTGAGGTGGATGGAGGAATCCTCCCCACTGCAGTATTGTAATATTATAGCGGGGACCAGGGGCGGACTGACCATTTGGAAACTCGGGCACTGCCTGAGGGCCCGGGGTCAGTAAGGGGCCCCATGACATGCCCCTGGTACCTTTTTCATAGGCTTTTCTGAGTTTGGGCAAGGACACAGGGGCCCCATGATCCCTATTGCCCAGGGGCCCCATGAGTTGTCAGTCCGCCCCTGGCGGGGACACTATGCCATCAGAGTACACTGATCAGCGGCCGCAACCCATTGGCTGCAGCTGCTGATCACGAAGACTTTTCCAACCTGCCAGTCAGACAGGGACAGGTGGATGGGGACTCGTCAGGTCGAAGTTCGGCCAGCTCAGCAGGGACTGATCTCTGGCAGAACAAACACCAAGCTGGCTTTCAGGATGACGTGGAAACCATACCTGGTTTTTTTTTTTTTACCCGCTTGACCATAAAAACCTTGTTTCCCGTTCGTGTTTTCCAGCAAAGAACGTGCAGCCTCTGCGGCAGCCGCGGCCTCCGGCCCCCACAGGGAGACCTGGTCCAAGGGCCCCTCCTACGAGGACCTGTATACTCAGGATGTGGTCATCAGCATGGAGGAGCAGGAGAACCCGCAGAGGTTGGCTGCCGAGAACAAACCGGCCAAAGAGAGGCCCATCTGGCTGAGAGAGAGCACCGTACAGGGCGGAGCCTACGCCGAATCTGGCGATCTCAAAGACGGTAAGAAACTGGATGGGGTTTGGGGTCATTAAAGCTTGAACTACGGCCCTCCCTTCTGTGTTGGAAGGTCCTGACAAATGCAAATTTCCCTCTGTTATGATCTGGTTTAATAGTTTGGCCATCGATGTTTACTAAATTGTCTGTTCCACAGTAGCTCAACCCCAATCGCAGAAAGATCCACCACCATGCTTCACAGTAGGGATGGTATGCTTCTCTACAAAGGCCTTTTCCTAGGAGTTCTTTGCTGTATTATAAGCGGACTATAAGTTCAGTTTTGTGCGGATGTCCCGACGCTGACTTAACCAGTTGTGGACTCTGGATGTGTTATACATGGCAAGAAAACTTCATGGAAGCACACGGAACATATGTAATATGTCCAGCCCCTCTGCCCTACTGCTCATACATGTCAGCAATTGCCAGCTGTCAAAAAGGTCTGACAGGTTTTATAAACATCAATCAGATGGGAGATACAAAGTAACATTGTTTATAAACATCAATCAGATGAGGGACACAAAGTAACATTGTTTATAAACATTGATCAGATGAGAGATAGATACAAAGTAACATTGTTTATAAACATTGATCAGACGGGGGATGGAGAGATACAAAGTAACATTGTTTATACACATCGATCAGGCGGGAGATAGAAATACAAAGTAACATTGTTTATAAACATCGATCAGACGGGAGAGATCGAGATACAAAGTAACATTGTTTATAAACATCGATCAGACTGGAGATAGAGAGATACAAAGTAACATTGTTTATAAACATCGATCAGACTGGAGATAGAGAGATACAAAGTAACATTGTTTATAAACATCGATCAGATGGGAGATGGAGAGATACAAAGTAACATTGTTTATAAACATCGATCAGACGGGAGATAGCAATACAAAGTAACATTGTTTATAAACATCGATCAGACGGGAGATAGAGAGATATAAAGTAACATTGTTTATAAACATGGATCAGACGGGAGATGGAGAGATACAAAGTAACATTGTTTATAAACATCGATCAGTCGGGAGATAGAGATACAAAGTAACATTGTTTATAAACATCGATCAGACGGGAGATAGCGATACAAAGTAACATTGTTTATAAACATCGATCAGACGGGAGATAGAGAGATACAAAGTAACATTGTTTATAAACATCGATCAGACGGGAGATAGAGATACAAAGTAACATTGTTTTATAAACATCGATCAGACGGGAGATAGAAATACAAAGTAACATTGTTTATAAACATCGATCAGACGGGAGATAGAGAGATACAGAGTAACATTGTTTATAAACATCGATCAGACGGGGGATGGAGAGAGATACAAAGTAACATTGTTTATAAACATCGATCAGACTGGAGATAGAGAGATACAAAGTAACATTGTTTATAAACATCGATCAGATGGGCGATGGAGAGATACAAAGTAACATTGTTTATAAACATCGATCAGACGGGAGATGGAGAGATACAAAGTAACATTGTTTATAAAACATCGATCAGACGGGAGATGGAGAGATACAAAGTAACATTGTTTATAAACATCGATCAGACGGGAGATAGAGAGATACAATGTAACATTATTTAAAAACATTGATCAGACGAAAGATGCAAAGTAACATCGTTTATAAACATCGATCAGACGGGAGATAGAGATACAAAGTAACATTGTTTATAAACATGGATCAGACGGGGGATGGAGAGATACAAAGTAACATTGTTTATAAACATCGATCAGACGGAAGATAGACAGATACAAAGTAACATTGTTTATAAACATCGATCAGGGACGGGAGATAGAGAGATACAAAGTAACATTGTTTATAAACATCGATCAGACGGGAGATAGAGAGATACAAAGTAACATTGTTGGTAAACATCGATCAGACGGGGGATGGAGAGATACAAAGTAACATTGTTTATAAACATTGATCAGACGGGGGATGGAGAGATACAAAGTAACATTGTTCATACACATCGATCAGACGGAAGATAGACAGATACAAAGTAACATTGTTTATAAACATCGATCAGACGGGAGATAGACAGATACAAAGTAACATTGTTGGTAAAATCGATCAGACGGGAGATAGAAATACAAAGTAACATTGTTTATAAACATCGATCAGACGGGAGATAGAAATACAAAGTAACATTGTTTATAAACATCGATCAGACGGGGAGATGGAGAGATACAAAGTAACATTGTTTATAAACATTGATCAGACGGGGGATGGAGAGATACAAAGTAACATTGTTCATACACATCGATCAGACGGAAGATAGACAGATACAAAGTAACATTGTTTATACACATCGATCAGACGGAAGATAGACAGATACAAAGTAACATTGTTGGTAAACATCGATCAGACGGGAGATAGAGATACAAAGTAACATTGTTTATAAACATCGATCAGACGGGAGATAGAAATACAAAGTAACATTGTTTATAAACATTGATCAGACGGGGGATGGAGAGATACAAAGTAACATTGTTCATACACATCGATCAGACGGAAGATAGACAGATACAAAGTAACATTGTTGGTAAACATCGATCAGACGGGAGATGGAGAGATACAAAGTAACATTGTTTATAAACATCGATCAGACGGGAGATAGAGAGATACAAAGTAACATTGTTTATAAACATCGATCAGACGGGGGATGGAGAGATACAAAGTAACATTGTTTATAAACATCGATCAGACGGGAGATAGAGAGATACAAAGTAACATTGTTTATAAACATCGATCAGACGGGAGACGGAGAGATACAAAGTAACATTGTTTATAAACATCGATCAGACGGGGGATGGAGAGATACAAAGTAACATTGTTTATAAACATCGATCAGACGGGAGATAGAGATACAAAGTAACATTGTTTATAAACATCGATCAGACGGGGGATGGAGAGATACAAAGTAACATTGTTTTATAAACATCGATCAGACGGGAGATTTATATATATAAGTATTCTTCTATAACCCCTTATTTACCGTTAGTTTGTCATAATTTTCCATTAAAAAAGCCCAGAATGATCAAAAGCCTTTTTTTTTGCGATGCTTTGTACCAGAATTATTATTTTAGTGTCATTCAGAATGGGGCAGATGATACAACTACATTTATACTTTTAATTTTTATTTTAACATCTAACATGAAAGTAGAAAGAGAAAATAAAAAGTATCTTTCTATAGAGTGCATAAAAGATAAAAATGGTTTTTTTTCGTGGCGATATCCCCATGGAAGGCCTTGTATGTCCTAAAGAAATGTATTCCGATGAGAGATTTCCATAAACACATTTACCTCCTTCCAGGGCTGGACCCAGAAGGTTTCCACGACCACGAGGAGGGCCGCCCAATGGCTGACGACAATGAAGAGGTCATGCAGGCGCTGCTGAAACACGAAAAGAAGACGGCCGCAGGCGCGGTAGGAGCGTCCGCAGCCCCGGCATCCAGCGTGGGCGCCGGCAGCGACTCCGACAGCGACACCAGCGAGTCCGACCAAGACAGCCCGGCACCCCGTCTCCCATGGCTTCCCATCACTTCGAGGAGGAGGACGATGACGACGACGAGTTCGAAGAAGTGCAAACAGACCCCAGGGTCACTGTCGGGGGGCGGAGCTACCTGTACAGCGAGGTGAGCCAGCGCCCCGAATTGGTGGCGCAGATGACCCCTCAGGAGAAAGACGCGTACATCGAGATGGGGCAGAGAATGTTCAAGGACATGTATGAGTGAGTCTCCGACTGCGAGGCGTCATCACGCCTCCCGAGTACCGAATCTTTCACCAACCTTCGCTGACATATGCTTTTAATTCGCTTTTTATATGTTTTTAGCATTTGATAGTAGACATTTCTTAAATTGTTTTTTTTTTTCTTCTGTAAAAAAATTTTTTTTTATTTTTTTTTTGTACACCAGCGGTCATGCACCCACGGAACTTGGGTTGGCGGTCCTCACAGAGGAAAATGTCTGCCTGGATTGAACTGTGTAAGGTCCCTAAAAGGAAAAAAACCGCTGTTGAGATTTTTTAGTTTTTTGGGTTTTTTTAGTTTTTTTTTTTTTAGTTTTTTTTTGTACAACAGCGGTCATGCACCCACGGAACTTGGGTTGGCGGTCCTCGCAGAGAGCATAATTTCTGCTGGTGAACTGGATTGAGCTGTGTAAGGTTCCTTAAAAGGAAAAAAACGCTGTTGAGATATTTTAGTTTTTGGGTTTTTTTTTGGTTTTTTTTTTTATAATTTTTTGCAGATGCAAACCGGGCTGCTTAACGGCAGTGTACCTTCATACACATACAAGATGGCTGCCGGTAAAGTTTGAGCGGAGAGCGGTTATTGCGGTTTTTTGTCTTCGAGGTACCGCTTTGCACAGCGGCATTCCAGGCAAACCAACAAGATGGCCGCCAACATCAGAGCACATTTATCGGCTTGCGTCCTTTTCCCCGAGCTGCATCTTTCATATCCAATACATGGAGCTGACTTTGGATTGAAGCAGAACTCCCAGATTTGAGAGGCTGAATGTTAGGGGGTTACGTTGGTTTTAGGAGGTTAGGGGTTCATGTTAGATTTTAGAGGCTTTGGTGTTAAACGATGGGCTAGTTTTAGGGCTCATTCACACCGGGTGCAGAGAAATGCAACACACTGCAATGCATAAAGTTTAGAAAAAAAGGGAAAAAAAAACAGGTGTACCTCGGTTTACTAATTTAATGCATATTACTATAGCTCAGAGAATCAGCTGTCACTTTCCCCCCAGCTAAAAGAAACAAAGTTTCCTTTTAGTTTGCTTCCCCGAGTTAAAAGAAACTATGTTTCCTTTTACTTTATTTCCTTGACGTAAAAGAAACAATATTTCCTTTTAGTTTGTTTCCCGAGTTAAAAGAAGCAATGTTTCCTTTAGCTCCAGGGAAAGTGACAGCTGATTTTGTTTCCCCAGTTAAAAGAAACAATGTTTCCTTTTGGTTTGTTTCCCCGAGTTAAAAGAAACAATGTTTCCTTTAGCTCCAGGGAAAGTGACAGCTAATTTTGTTTCTCCGAGATAAAAGAAACAATGTTTCCTTTAGCTCCAGGGGAAGTGACAGCTAATTTTGTTTCCCCCAGTTAAAAGAAACAATGTTTCCTTTTGGTTTATTTCCCCTACCTAAAAGAAACAATGTTTCCTTTTAGTTTTTTTTCCCCAACCTAAAAGAAACAATGTTTCCTTTAGCTCCAGGGGAAGTGACAGCTAATTTTGTTTCCCCCAGTTAAAAGAAAAAATGTTTCCTTTTGGTTTATTTCCCCTACCTAAAAGAAACAGTGTTTGTTTCCTTTTAAGTTTGTTTCCCGAGTTAAAAGAAACAATGTTTCCTTTAGCTCTGGGGGAAGTGACAGCTAATTTTGTTTCCCTGAGTTATAAGAAACAATGTTTCCTTTTGGTTTATTTCCCCGACTTAAAAAGAAATAGTGTTTCCTTTTAGTTTGTTTCCTGAGTTAAAAGAAACAATGTTTCCTTTAGCTCCAGGGAAAGTGACAGCTAATTTTGTTTCCTGAGTTAAAAGAAACAGTGTTTCCTTTTAGTTTATTTCCTCAACTTAACAGAAACAATGTTTTCTTTTAGTTTGTTTCCTGAGATAAAAGAAACAATGTTTCTTTTAGCTCCAGGGAAAGTGACAGCTAATTCTGTGAGCTATAGGGAAGAAAAAAAAAAAAAGCCGGCAATTGCATTTAAAAGTCGGCACCGACATACACTTAATATTGTGAAAACATTTGTAAAAAAATGTGTAAACCGAGGCGATATTTTCAATGGCTTTTCATTCGTAAACTGAGAATTGCGTTAACCGAGGCGTTGGTACACCTGTATAGGCAAAACAATTCTTTTCTATTTTGGATAGAGTAAGGGAGGGTTATAACCTCTGTCAGATTTTTGTTTGCCATACGTGTCCTATTGGGGAGATTTACCTTCACTTCCTGTCGCATAGAAAAAAACAGGAAGTGAGAGGAAATCAATCCAATTAAGGGAATCCCTTGGCCCCTCCCCCCCCCCCCACCCCCCCTTCCGGTCACCAGAACTAGTGTCCCCATGGGAAGATTTCCCCTGTATTACTGTTCTGAATATGACCCAAAATGTGGGATTTTCCTTTCCCTTTTTAAATGATAATGGTAAACAGGAGGGGGGGGGGGTGAATTCCCCTGATGGGGGGAACAAATGGCACTAAAAACCTGACAGGGGGTCTAATCCCTCTTCACCTCTTCACCAGATCCAAAATGAAAAAGAAAAGTTGTGCCTTTTAGTAATACTTTAAAGCGGAGCTCCACCCAGAAGGGAAAGTTCCACTTCAAGCCTTTGTCCCCCCACTCCCCATTAAGGATTGGCACCTTTGGGGAACTGGTGGGAGGGGGAGCGGGTATCGTAATTTGACAGGTACCCACCCTGGAAAAAGTTGTGCCCCCCCTTCTCCGTAGTCTTCTGGGACACGTGACAGGTCCCAGAAGACGACGGGGCCTTTCACAAAGAGCAGCGCTTCTCGCACATGCTCAGATGGCACCTGTGAAGCCGCAAGCTGTCACAGCCAGGTGCCCACACTGAAGATGCTGGTGCCGGGGGAGAGAAGACAGCCGGTGAAACCAGCCGTGGTGAGGACACCGCAGGACCGAGGGACAGGTAAGTGGCTGGATTTTAAAAGTCAGCAGCTACAGTTTTTGTAGCTGCTGACTTTTTTTTTTTTCTTTCCGGTGGAACTCCGCTTTAAACACTGTAATACGGTGCAACAACACATGGCGCCGCCCCCTACACAACGCACAGCAGAGGGAGCGCTGTATACGAACACTCCCCCCCTCCCCCAGTGTGAACGGGCCTATAGGGTTTGGTTTTAGGGATAAATTGGGGGGACGGAAGTAAGTATCGAGGGTTAGGCTCATTTTAGGGGTACAGGTTTGGTTTTAGTGTTTGATTTTAGGGGGTTACATGTTAGGGGTTGGGTTAGTTTTAGGAGGTTAGGTTTTGTATTGAGGCAAGATCTTACAGGGTTAGGGGGTTGGGTTCATTTTAGGAGGTTAGGTCTTGTATTAAGACCAGATCTTACGGGGTTAGGGGTTGGAATAGTTTTAGGAGGTTAGGTTTTGTATTGAGGCAAGATCTTACAGGGTTAGGGGTTGGAATAGTTTTAGGAGGTTAGGTTTTGTATTAAGACCAGATCTTACAGGGTTAGGGGTTGGGTTCATTTTAGGAGGTTAGGTTTGTATTAAGACCAGATCTTACAGGGTTAGGGGTTGGAATAGTTTTAGGAGGTTAGGTTTTGTATTAAGACCAGATCTTACAGGGTTAGGGGTTGGGTTCATTTTAGGAGGTTAGGTCTTGTATTAAGACCAGATCTTACGGGGTTAGGGGTTGGAATAGTTTTAGGAGGTTAGGTTTTGTATTAAGGCCAGATCTTACAGGGTTAGGGGTTGGGTTAGTTTTAGGAGGTTAGGTTTTGTATTGAGGCAAGCTCTTACAGGGTTAGGGGTTGGGTTCATTTTAGGAGGTTAGGTCTTGTATTAAGACCAGATCTTACGGGGTTAGGGGTTGGAATAGTTTTAGGAGGTTAGGTTTGTATTAAGGCAAGATCTAACTAACCCAACCCTTAACCCCGTAAGATCTTGCCTCAATACAAAAACCTAACCTCCTAAAACTAACCCAACCCTAACCCCGTAATGTGGTTAGGTTTTGTATTGAGGCAAGATCCTACGGGGTTAAGGGTTGGGTTAGTTTTAGGAGGTTAGGTTTTGTATTAAGGCAAGATCTAACTAACCCAACCCCTAACCCTGTAAGATCTGGTCTTAATACAAAACCTAACCTCCTAAAACTAACCCAACCCCTAACCCTGTAAGGTGGTTAGGTTTTGTATTGAGGCAAGATCCTACGGGGTTAGGGGTTGGGTTAGCTTTAGGAGGTTAGGTTTTGTATTGAGGCAAGATCTTGCGGGGTTAGCAGTTAGTTTGAGGGGGTTTTTTTTTGGGTTTTTTTTTTACTTTTTTTCCACCAATAATTACGGCCGTGTTCTTGGTGCAAAAACCTAGCATGCCAACCAATGTGACCTCTAGTGTGATCGCACTCCCCGACATTCCACTGAGCCGCGTGCAGAGAGGAAGAGGTGGCTACAGAACCGCCATTTCCCGAGAATGTGTCGTCCTCCTACCTGGCTGTACATTGTGGTAGAAGTGTGTGAGTCACAAGACCGGCCGCGCAGAATAAAGAATATTGCGGCAGCTTGGAGTTCTGCTGGTGACAGTATTACAACACAGATCTGCCAAAACCCCCGCTTGACCGAAAACCCGCTCTTCATAACCCGCCGGTGAATTTAAGTCCGGCTTCTGCAGGAGTCCCCGTAAAGCACAAGACCGGCTCTTGTAGGAGCAGCGCCGTCACTGCCCGGCCTCTGATGTTAGGATCACA